GTTCCCTCCCACTCCCAGGAATACTCACAAGAGGCGGGGCACCTGCACGAGCCAGCGCACGTTGGGGGAGTGCACGCGATGCATCACGGCCCAGTGTGCCAGCTTGTCCCACTCGTCCCTCGAGCGCCCATAGATGGAGAGCCTCAGCTCTGCATTCTGGTATTTGCTCTCCTCCAGGTCTGCCATCACCTCCTAGACACGCACGAGGCAACTGTCACTCAGGCTTCCCAGCAGTCCTCATCTTTGCACCCACCACCACGTGTCCTCAGTCAGGCAGCCTCATGCCTCCAACTCACCCTCCTCACCTACCCGTGGGAGCCCCTCATATACCCAGGCTCTCGCTCAGGCCAGGGAGCACTGCCCAAGGCCCACGCTGCCCCCGTACCTGGGTCCCGACAGCCACACCTCCTTACCTTGATGATGTGAGCGAAGTATTTCCCAGAAACTCTGTTGTCTGTCTTGATGAAGATCTCTCGAAGGACAGACTCCCCAATAGGGTTGTATTTGGCATTGAACTTGTCAAAGCGATGGAAGGTGTTCCTGTCCTGGGGTAGACAGGCAGGCCGAGGTCAGCCCAGACCCCCGGCCCACATACTGACCCAGAGCCCCTCAGTTCCCGATGCTGGGACGGACCGCATGCACATCCAGCGTGTCCACACTCAGGTCATAGGCGGTGAGATTCATGCTCTCGAAGACTTCCCGCAGCGTCTGCTCACGGCCCTGCTCCACGTGCACGATCTCCTCCAGGTGTCGCTTCATCGCCCGCTTGATGAAGCGCAGTAGGTGTTTCTGGTTCATGCAGGATGAGGCGTGGATGTGTGTGTCCACCTGGGATAGAACGGGGGCTGCTGGGTCCACTGAGGCCGGGGGGGCGGGGAGGCGACATCGAGGACCTGGGCAATAGGATGGGAGAGGCCTCTCCAACCTGGGTGCTGCGTGGGGGCCCAGGCCTCCTGGGGGAGGCTGGGCAGAGGTGCAGGGCCGGCCAGGTGCAAACCCACCTTGCGGATGTTGTAGAAATCTCGGTGTGGCACCTTCTTCTGGGCGGCCAGCTCTTTCATCTCATTGAGCAGCACATGCATCTGGAACTTGGAGCTCAGGTACTGCAGCCGGCGGTAGCAGAACGACTTTCTGGCAAGAGGAGAACAAGGCCAGGGGCTCAGGGTCTGCAGGGAAGCACCTGGAGGGGCCTGGGGAGCAGATCAGAGGACTGAAGCTGCCGAGGGGGCGGCAGGCTATAGGAAAGTCTGGGACTCGGTGACTGAAGTGAGGAGAGACTGGTGACGGGTGTCTGCGGCAGGGCTGGGTGGAGAGTCCAGGCCGGTGGGGACTCACATGGGGCCGTTGATAATCAGGGCCATCAGCACGTTGACGTCAGCCACAAACTCCTGCAGGTCGGGGTACGGCAGCTCTACCTCGGAGCAACTGGCACACGGTGGGGGAGTGAGGGGGAGCTTGGGTGAGGAGAGCAAGCAGGCCCTACACCCCCTAACTCCCCCCAGCACACCCCACCCCTCTTACTGTGCATCAGGCTCCCTGCGGGTGTAGACGTGCACTACGCCTCGCACCATGCGAAGACCCAGGCCCAGGTCCCCCGGCATGGCACTGGGCTCGCAGTGCTCGTAGGGGTGCTGCTCCAGCGCTGGGGGATGCACTGGGGCATCTGCAAGAGCGGGGAGGGGCGTCAGGGCCGGGGCCATCTGGGCTCCACCCACTGCCCAGCCCAGAGGCCCCGCAAGCAGGGCGAGGCCCCACAGACGGGGAGCAGACATCAGGCCCCTGCCCCTGCCTCCATCCCCGAGCCAGGCTGCGTGTGGGAAGGGGCAGGCAGCGAGGTTCCTGGGCCCTGAGCTCAGGGAGCCTGGGCCCTGAGGGCCCCTGCAGTGGGCCAGGGGCGGGATCCCACCTGCAGCCACAGGGGTGTCGGGGCCCTGCTCATAGGTCCGCCGTCTCCAGGGGCTTCTCAGCCAGCTGCTGCAGGTACCGGCGGGTGGTGGTGCAGAAGCCCTGCAGAGACAGTGCCATGTACTTCTCCCGGATGAACAGGGCCCGCACCACACTCTTGGCGGCATCCAGCAAGTCTGTGAATGGCACCTGGAGACAAGGACATGTGATCACTCTCACCTCTTCCCTGAGACCTTGACTCAGACCATGCACTTCCCAGAATATCAACTAGCTCCCTCATGGACCCTCTGCCCCTTCAGCTTCCAGGAAGAGAGATGCCCTCTCTAGCCCTACCCCCAGTTCCCCAGGCTGGGGGAGCCCATGGGGACCCACAGCCCTGCCCACACTCACCCCACACTTCTCCTCCCCGGCGATGGTGACCCGTTGAAATTCCCGCTCCAGTACCACATCACGCTCCCGCAGACCCCGGTCACCCTGCCCCTCACTCTGCTCCTTGTAGCGCCTACGGGGAGCAGAGTACAAGGAAGGGGGTTGGAGCCTGCAGTGTGACAGGCCCCAGCCCCACATCCCCCGCGTCCCCGCACCCCTCTGCCCTCCTCACTGGAGGTCTGAGTCGCTGTCCGTCTTCAGGAAATCCTGCTTGGCCCGAATCAGGATGTCGGGCTCCAGCCTAGAGGTGAGGGGGCAGGAGGTCAGGCAGAGGACGAGGGACGGCCCTTGCTCCCAGACCCCTGCCCTGGCGAGGCGCGGCGCCTGTGCTGTCACACGTGGTTCTCACAGGGCTGCAGAACCCTGCGCGGCGGGTGCTGCTCCGGCCCCACGGTAGGGATGAGAAAGCACGCCCGGACGTGAGGCACGATGTTCCAGGCCACACTGACAGCACCAGAGCCCAGCAGCCTGACCCCACGGCCTGTGCTTCACACCACTGCTCTGTGCTGCCTCCCCACTGGGCCCCAAAGGAGGGACCGGATAGGAGATGGGGCACTGGAAGCATCTGATGGAGACGGGACACTGTGCAGACTACCCTGTGCCCCCTCCCTACCACAGCCCCCCACTGTCTGTGACCAACCCCCTGCCTCACAGCTGCCTGGCTGTTGCCCCCCACCCTGCAGCTAACTGGCTGTGCCCTCCACCTGAGGCTGCCTGGCTGTGCCCCTCACACACAGCTGTCTGGCTGTGCCCCCCACCTGAGGCTGCGTGGCTGTGCCCTNACTAAAATGATATGTATCATTAATTTATCATTTGAATAAACTAATAATTTTTCTAAGTAAACGGAAAATCACATCTTATATATATGTATATATATATATGTATATATATACATATATATATCTGCAATTACTGTATCTAGTACAATTAACCATCCACACTAATAATTATCTTTAATTAGAGTAACCAATCTTGTCTTTTTTTTCTTCGGAAACAAGAGAAACTCAGAAGAAAGTTTAGAATCTGTCCAGCTATTTCTTATGACCATTTATCTCACATTGTGTCAACATTTTGAGGAGGCCAAAACCAATAGACATGCATTATCATCCAAAGGCATTTGCATATTTTGTTACTCTACTGACATTTCAAGAAATAAGGACAAATTAAAATTATGTTTATTAACCAGTGTTGTTTTTTGTTTTGTTTTGTTTTTTAAAGATTTCATTGGGGGAATTGGGGAAAGGAAACAGCCAAGTTGTTGTCCTTCAGTCTTAGTTGTGGAGGGCACAGCTAGCTCAGCTCCAAGTCCAGTCGCCATCCGGCCGCCCATGGGCAGCTCACAGCCGCTCAGCTCAAGATGCCCGTGTTTAATCTTAGTTGCAGAGTCGAACCCGCAATCTTGTTGTTAGGAGCACGTGCTCTCACCAGCTGAGCCATCCTGCCACCTGTTGGCAGCTCAGTGGCAGCTCAGCTTAGGTGCAGCTCACTGGCCCATGTGGGAATCAAACCGGTGACCCTGTTGCTCAGAGCTCATGCTCTTAACCAACTCAGCCACTCAGCCACTCAGCCAGTCCTAACCAGTGTTTTTGTATCTCCCCCTGCCCCTTAGGAACCACTTTTGTTCCTTCTGCCCAGAATCAGGAGGTTTTATTTGTTCTCTGATGGGTAATGTCCCAAAGACACAGGTCACATGGAACATTCTATAAATGGTCACACTGCAGTCCTCATGGGGGCTTTTCTACCTGAAACTGTGTCGCCTCCAAGCCAGACACCCACTTCCTTCATTCTTTCCCCCTATATAACCCTACTAACTTCTGTGTATATCTTTCTAACTGACACAGTTTCTCCTATGACAATTGGAAATGACACTGGCCACTTTAAGGGAATTTGAGGTGGTCAAATTGTTCATTTGAGAGGCACCTTAAAATAAAACAAACAAAAAAACCCAACCGTCCAAAAGTCGGCTTAGGAAACTAGATTCTAAATGTAATTCATACTCGAAAATTGCCTCACTGAAATGTTCTTTGCTTTGCTGAAATAGTCTTGAGCTAAAGCAACTACATAACAGGACAAATTGTCTCCTGAATCATGGCCTTTCGCCATTAGTCAGAATTAGTTCCTGATGTTATTCTTATGCCCTTTCCACTTTTTTGTTGATGGTTTAACACCAAAATATAAACAACTGACTGGCAAATCACTCCATTGCAAGAACTTCAGCATTTGGCTAAGCATTTTAAAGAGACTTGGAAGACCAAAAAGGAAAGCGCTGCTGTGAGGGGCTGTTCATGCTGTCTGAAGAGATCATTTCGTTTAACGCAACAGCTTCCCCTCCGTTGTTTACATCTAATTTTGTGCCTTGTTTTTGTGTCCCAGGCAGGGTGAAGGCCTCAGAGCTGGGCTGGGGTGTCTCCCAGTCATGCTTAGTCAGGCTCTCACCCAAACCTTGAGAAAAGTAACAGTGGACAGTCACGCCTGTCAAATTTGAGCCTTTGGTGTCAGAACACGCCTTAAGGAGGGAAGAACAGGATTTCCCCAAAGGGAATATTTGTTCCCAATCACTGACAGTCAGAGAGGCTGGTCGCTGGAAGAGAAAGTGGGGGCGAATGAAGGCCGGGAGGGAGGCAATTTGATCTGGAATCTGAGGTGCAGGAAGCCCTGAAGTCCACCTAGAGGCTGAATTTGCATCTCCCGGTTGGGGTGTTCTGGGAGTTCGTGGGACTCTCAGTACTGTTTGTGCCAGTGACTGCTAACGGTAAACCCCCCCAGGAGACACTAGATCCTTTAGCTAAGCTGCCTGATGTTGGGAGATTCATTTTCTCATCTGTAAAATGGGAATAACAACAGCACCTACCTCATGAGGCCGCTGTGAGGATTTAGACGAGATGAAGCAATTGGAGCCGCTGGCACATAGCGTTACCTGTGACGGTGATAATGATGATAATGACACTTGCATTTTTTTTTTTTCAGCTCCACAAGTGCTGCTGATGGGCAGTGAGGGCTGAGAGCCCCGGACTAGAGACAGAATCCCCTGGCAGGGCAGGATACTGCCCAAAGCCCTCCAGGCTCCAGAAGCAGAGAATTAGCCTCTGGTGGTGAGGCCGGTGGAGAAATAGTGAGAAGTGGAGGGTGGANCCTGGCTGTGCCCCTCACACACAGCTGTCTGGCTGTGCCCCCCACCTGAGGCTGCGTGGCTGTGCCCTCCACCTGAGGCTGTCTGGCTGTGCCCCTCACCCTGCAGCTGCCTGGCTGTGCTTCCACTGTACACAGCTGTCTGACTGTGTCCCTAACACACAGCTGTCTGGCTGGGCCTCCCATCTGTGGCTGCCTGGCTGTAACCCCCCACCCCAATTTGTATGGCTGTATATCCCTGACTCCAAGGCTACCTGGCTATACCGCTGCACCCAAGGCTGCCTGGCTGTACCCCACCCCCCAATCTGCAGCTGCCAGGCTGTGTCCCCCAACTCCGCGGCTGCCTGCCGGGTTCTGGGGCCGGGGGCTCACTTGACATCTTGGCTGATCTGCCGCTCCAGGCGCTGCCTCCGCTCCTCCAGCTGCTCGATGGGGCTCTCCTCGGGGAACTCGTACGGAGCACTGCGGAGCTCACTCTCAGCCAGGGAGCGGCTGAACAGCTCCTGGTGGAGAGAAGGAAGGGTCAGCGTGGCTTAGCCCTCAGCCCGCGGGCCCTCCCTTGCAGAGTCTGGGGAGGGGGTGAGGGCAGCAGGAGCTGGGGGTACCTGGGAGAGGCTAGGGATCAGGGCACAGCCAAGCGTGAAGTCAGGGGACAGGGGGCAGAGTCAGGATGTGGGGACAGCATGGAGGAACAGAGGGTGTGGTGCCAGGTGATACCTCCGCGATCTCCTTGCATTTGCCATCCATAGACGTGCGTAGGTCGAGCGGGAAGTGCTTGAGGCAGGGGGCAGGGCCTGGCAGGGATCGGGCAGACTGCAGCGGAGGGGCCCCCAGCCCACCCCGAGCCTCTGTGGAGACAGTGATGCCAAGGTCAAAGGGTGGAGGGCGGGATCTGGGTGCAGTGGAAGCCCTGGGACCCTGCCCGCCCCAGGCCAGCTCCGGAGAAAGGCCAGGGCTTGGAGAGTAGGCAGTCCTTTCTCAGAGGCTGAGGAGTGAGCCTGTGTATGGCTCCCCAAGGACCTCGCCCTCACAGTCTACTACAGGGACCCCTCACATATTCCAAGCGTGAGGGTGGGGTCCTAAGGCTGCCCCTGGAACAAGTGGATTCATTCATTCCAGGAATCAGAATCTGAATACTGGATTAGGGGCTGCTCCCTCAGGCCATCAGAGCCTCCATATGAGAACCTCCCATATGTAGGCACACGCGTGTCCACAAACACATGCACACACTCCAGTAAGGCACTCAGGAAGGACCTGGTGGCCACATCAGCGACCCCTAGCCCACAGCTTCCAGGGCAGGCAGTCCAGGATCAGACCTGCCTCGAGACTAGCAGATTCTCCTCGCTGAGGGCCAGGGCCCAGAGTACGGGGAAGCCACAGCTGCCACTCAGCTCTGACCTGGGGACCAACCCTCAAGGGAAGAGGAAAAGAGGATGTGGAGGACCTGGTTGGCAGCAGGAACCCTACTACCTCCCCAGAGGCCTACCCTCTCCACAGGACCCCAAGGCTGCCAAGATGTGGCTTGGCCCCAGCCTGTCCCTCCCACTGCTGGCTGCCCCTCCAAAGGGAGCTGCCACAAACAGTCTGCGCCACTCAGAGGCCCCAGAATCTGGGCCGGAGGCCCCAGGGAGGGCCTGGGGAAGAGAATATCAAAAGCCAGGGTCTCACTCATGGAGGGCAGAACTCCTCTGAAGCACCGCTAGGAGGCTGGCACTAAAGGCCTTGAGGCTGCTAGTCTAGAGGGGCTGCCTGAGCTCCCCAGCCCACCCTGAAGGACCCTCCTGGGTTCACCAGCCCCACCCTCCCCAGCAGGAAGCTCTCCACACCCAAATGGGCTCTCCCAGCCAGCTTTTGGGGGTCCTCCCTTCCAACACCCTCCTTTCCCCTCTCCACCATGACTGAAGGACAGACTGGAAGCTCTGCCCAGGTAGAGTGTCTTCAAGTCTCTAGGCCCACTCCCTGATGCCCCAGAGTCTGGTCCCAGGCTGGACAAAGGGAAGAGGAGGTGCCTGCCCCGGATCCAGGACCCAGCACCCACTTGTCCTCATGCCTGCCTGGGTCCTACCTGCAGAGTTCAGGCAGCACCAGCGAGCAGCCCAGTGCCCCTTGCCCGCCTGTTTGCTGAGTGGCCGGCAGCCCTGTGCCCCTTTCCTGCCTGTTTGCTGAGTGGAGCTGCAACCAGTCCCCTAGGACAGCTCAGGGGCCGGCATGGGCTGTACCAAGTGCAGCTGCATGCAGGGGAGACCCTGGGATGACGGCAAGCAGGGGGTTGGGGGAGCTCAGGGGAGCCCAGAAATCAAGGGAAGGAACATCAAAGTTCAGAGATAAGAGCAACCCCAGAGCTGAACAGGGCCTTAACCTCTACAGTGCCAGGGCCCAGCCCAAAGTGGGGCCCCCAAGGGGCTGGAGCAGGGTAGGCTGCTATGGGCAGGCTAGGCTGGCAGGGAGGTGCCAAGCCTCCTTAAAATGTACTGCCCCATTGTGTAGTGAGTAGGTAGGACCTGGCTGGCCAAAGGATGGGGGAGAGGGGTGCAAAGAAAGAGGGCGAGCAGCCCTCATCTCCACACCCAGCAGCCCCCGGCCATCCTGCTCCGCCCAGTGGCTGTGTTTTGCTCACCACTGTCCTCTGGGGCCCTGCCTATAGAGTCCCTCGGGAGAGGCAAGGCCTGTGCCTGGGAGAGGAGCTGGCTGGCAGCCCTGGAAGTGGCTCAGTCTAGGCAGGGAACAGCTACCAAGCCTCCATGATGCCCAGGGGGCTGGTTCATGGTCCCCTAGACCTCCAACCCCTATTTCAATCGTCATGGACACATTGCCCAGGAGGAGAGGTCTGGGAGAAGAGGGACTAGAATTTAGAGGACTTGAATCTGACTTTGTTCCCATTTATTAGCAAGTCTCTTCCTCCTAGATGACTCAAGTCCTGTCTATAAGGGGGTGATAAATGGTTCCTGTCCTGCCTAGCCACAGCTGCCGTAAGGTTTACACAGGTCTGGCTCTGAGTATCCTGTAAAACACCATAATCTGTGATTATGAACTCCTGGGACCCTCCAAACATGTCCCACATGCAGTCCCGCCCATTGCGGAGGGTGGGAGATTCTTGGGCTCAGCGCAGGCCAAGGCAACTGAGCAGTGAAGGGCAGCAAAGAGGACAGAACTTGGCAGGGGTGAAGATGGGGGTGACACCATCTCTTACTTGTAAGAGGGCAGAGCAGGAAGAGGAAGGAAAGATGAGCACCTGCTCCACCCCCCCAGGATGTAAGACAGAGCCTAAGGTCCTTGCTTGCCCAAGAACTCTGATTCTGCACAATTCCTCCGCACTTACAAACCCCTCCACGGAAGGCTGACCACAGACCTCCAGGGGTGGTCTGTAAGGGGTCAGCAGGAGCTGAGCCAAAGGCCCTACTCTCAACCCCCTCTCCTATCAGGATGGTCCAAGGCCTCCACAGAAATGCTGGAGTGACCAAGACAGGTTCCAGCAGTCAGAGCCATCCTCCCAGCCTGCCAGGCCACTGCACGGGGCTGCTGGGGTTCACTGGAGGCGACAGGCAGGCAGTAACCTCCACACTCCCTGAAGCCAGGCCTAGAAAACCCAGCTGCTTCCTGCTGGTCCCTTCTCCAAGGGTCTGTGTCACACCACCACATACAAACACACACACACACACACACACACACACACACACACAATCACATAGCAGGGAGGGGGTATAGTTGACCAAAAGCCACCACTCCCGCCAACTCCAGGATTCTTGCCATCCCAGCTACCCTCTTAACCAAGACTCCCTCTCAGGACTGCCTCAGTAGGCAGAGGTGCCCAAGGCTTTGACCCACAAGTATGATGCTCCCACCATGTGACCACCCAAAGGTATACAGATCTGGTCCTGGGGGACATACCCTCTGGATGGCACAGAGAACACAGACCCCAGGACAGTATAGATCAGGCCAGCATCTTCAATGGCATAAGAAGACACAGGAGTTGGGTGATCAGACTATAGGTACAGACTGGCTTGACCTAGTCACCAAAGTGGGGGTGGTCTTTCTTTAGCCACAAGGCCTGGGGACAGCAGATGGCAGGAAGATATCCCTTAGTAAGCACAGACCCAGGCAGCCGAGCCCTTAGGAAATGGCACAACCGTACCAGGTTGCCTGCTCCAAATGGTGCAGAGATGCCTACCAGAGTGGTAGCCGGAACCAAAGGGTACCGGAACACATGCGGGTGGGCAGCAGGCCCAGCGTAAGCCCTGCACAGCCCCGCCCAAGGACACCCTATTCTCTTTAGGAAGCTCACACGACAGACCAGGAATGAACACACAGCAAACGATCACAGTTGAGCCCCCCGCCCTGGAATGCCCGGCATCAATGAATATGCTCTAACATCAGACCCCCAGTGAGGGGGACAGAGATCTGGGGTCCTAAAGAGAGGAACTAGCCATACTAGGACAGCCTGAGCCAGCCTGGCAAAGGCACAGCCGCCAGCAGTGTGGCCACTCTGCAAACCAGTCAGTCCCACACGTCCCCCACTCCATTCACACACACACTCCCCCCGCAAACAGTCATAGCACATCCACACGCTGACACGTGTGCAAACACACCTCTTGCTGCACCCACACCCATGCCCACTCCCCGTTACAGAGGACAGCATCCCCGACATAGAAACCTCCACCCCACGTCTCTCCCTATACCACCTCCCAAGCCAGCTAGCTGTCCCTGGGATGGAGGACTAGGCACACCACAGCAGAGAGGGTGCAGAAGGCACGCGCGCAAACACACACACACACACACACACACACACACACACACACNCCTCACATGCTGAGCGCACAGTGGATGTTTCTTAGAATGCTTTGTGCCTTTTGTATTCATTATCGGCAAGAAACGGCAACGTCACAAGGCCAGAATATTCCACTGGAATGTGGATCTTATAAACACTTGAACTGGTGTAAACAAGGCAACAGATATGCCAAAGAGAGACCGACCATAAGCCAGGAAAAATGTGCTGGACAGTCTCATAGCAGTGCATTAGGCTGCAAAGGCCCCTTGTATTGAACCTTTGAGCTTTTAGACAACATGAGAAGATTAGTGAATATAAATATAAAGAAATACAAAGAAAATGTGCAGAGAAAGGGTGGGCCAGGCTGGTGGGGGAGCAATGAGTTGGATCTGGCAGGAGTGCAAATCAGTTTAAATGTTTGGCCCCAGGAGACTGGAGCTGGGCCTTATATGCATTCAGAAGGTCTGACCTGGGGTGGGGAAGAAGCAGGAACCCCAGGTAGCCATGGTGGTGGTGGTGTCTGCCGTGGCTGGGGGGGGGCGGGGACGGACTCTGCCCATGGCGGAGCACCAGGGGTGGGGCATGCCCCCCAAGGGACAGGCAATGAGAGCTGGGGTCTCAGGGGAGAATCTGGGATTCCAGACCAACCCCAGCCTGGCTGAGAACTGATTGCCCAATTAAACAAAAAGCAGAGGTGACGTGGGCTCATGCAGACCCACAGGGAAGGGACGGCTATGACTTCATGGCACTGGGAAGTCAGGACACACCTCAGATTCCCAGGTTCCTGAACCTTCAGGAGAGGAGACCAACAGCACCCCACCAGCTACTGGGTCCCAGGCTTCTCAGACTCACCCTCTCCTCTCGGCATTGGCCGGGCCCTGAAGACATTGACAAGGCTGTTGGTGCAATACTTGGGGCTGGTTGAGTCCTCTGAGCTCACCCGCCTCACTGCCCAACATGCAGCACCCCTCTACTCTAGAGGGAGTGCAGGCAAGAGAAGGATGGGAGATGAGCTCAGAGGGACCCTCTGGCCATGGGTCAGCACCGTGAGAAGACTGGTGAACCCCAACATAGCCCACATTT